TGCACACGAAAATCACTCACTACGAAAGCAAAAGACTTGGCAGACGATGCAACATCCCTCCAATGAAAAGCAGGGGTGTCACTAGCACGTTAAGAGACCATACAACAAGTGTCAGGGGCCCGAGATTGTTCAACCGCCTCTCAGCATACATAAGGGGGATTACCAACAGACCCCTGGCAGTCTTCAAGCTGGCACTGGACAAGCACCTAAAGTCGGTTCCTGACCAGCCGGGCTGTGGCTCGTACGTTGGTTTGCGTGCAGCCAGCAGTAACAGCCTGGTTGATCAGGCTCTGATCCACCAGGAGGCCTGGTCACAGACCGGGCCACGGGGGCGTTGACCCCCGGAACTCTCTCCAGGTAAACTCCAGGTAGGTCGTGCCCAAGGGTTAGGCAAGCGAAGAATTCCCATGTATTAAGATTCCAAGAAGTTGCAGTGTCTGACAGGATTGTAGATGATTCTCCTTTGTATGGACTGATGAAGCCACTGTGTGGCGAAACGTTTCCTCAATAAAGATACCCAAGAGTTGCACTTGTGTCTAATTTATCAACGTGTTGGTTCTCTGAACCATTCATCTACAATCCTGTCCTTGCCTAACCCTTGGGCACGACCTATTTCCACATTGAACAAATGTGACACCACCTACAACTGCTGCAACTCTCCTGCCTACGGTTTACAAGCTCCTTCTCCGCACATATGCCGTATTCTATTCCAAATTGATGGACTGACCACATCGACTCAAGGTTGAGGGACTGATTACCTCATTCTCCTCCTGTTCTTCAAGATTCTCCTTTGTATGGACTGATGACGCCACTGTGTGGTGAAACGTTTCCTCAATAAAGATACCCAAGAGTTGCACATGTGTCTAATTTATCAAATCAGAGAGATTACCAGGAAATCAGAAAGGTTAGTAGGGAATCATAGAGATTACTATGATACCAAAGAGATTGGGAGGGAATGAGGAAGATTATTAAGAAATCGAGATTAGAAGTTATTTATCAGTTATTACTTATTTGTCAGTTATTTTTCACATTTTCAGTTATTTATCAGTCATTTTTCACTTTTCAGTTATTTATCGGTTATTAGTTATTTTTAAGTTATTTATCAGTCATTTTTTTCAGCTATTAGTTATTTATCAGCCATCAGTTATTTATCAGTTATTAGTTATTTTCAGGTTATCAGCTATTAGCTATTTATCAGTTATTTTCCAGGTATTAGCTATTACTTATCAGTTATTAGTTATTTATTAGTTATCAGTTATTAGTTATTTATCAGTCAGCTATTTAAAAGTTGTTTATCATTTATTTTTCAATTATCAGAAATTTTTCAGTTATTTTCAGTTACTTATCTGGTATTTTTTTAGCTATTAGTTATTTATCACTTACTTATCAGTCAGATATTTTTCAGCTATTCATGCTATTAGTTTTTTATCACTTATTTATCAGTATTAGTTATTTGTCAGTTATTTTTCAGTTATTAGTTATCAGTTATTTCCAGTTTTGTTAGTTATTTTCAGTTATCAGTTTTCTGTTATCAGTTATTTCCAGTTAGTTATTTATCACTTATTTTTCAGACATTTTCAGTTATAATTTATTTTTATCAGTTATCAATTATTTTCAGTTATTAGCTAATTATCAATTCATTCTAGTTATGTTATTTTTTTAGTTATTTACCAGTTTTTTTAGTTACTATTTATCAGTTAGTTTTTAGTTTTCATTAATTTTTATTTATCAGTTGTATTTCAGTTATTACTCAATTATCAGTTAGTTATTTATCAGTTATTTTTCACTTTAGTAGTTATTCAACAATTATTTTTCAGTTATTAGTTATTTATAAGTTATTTTTAGTTAAGTTATTTTTTAGTTACGTTAGGTTACGTTTGGTTGCTTAGGTTACGTTAGTTTAGGTGAGGTTACATTACGTTGTTAGGTTAGGATTGGGTAGGATAAGCTTGGATATCCTAGGATAGGCTAGGATAAGCTGGGATACACTAGCCTAGTGTAGGATAGGCTAAGATAGCTTAGGATAGTGTGGGACAGGCTAGGATAGTCAAGGATAGTGTGGGATAGTCTATGATAGGCTGAGATAGCCTAGGAAAGTGTTGGATAGGCTACAATAGGCTGGGATAGCCTAGGATAGTAGGATAGGCTAGAATGGCCTAGGATAGTGTAAGACAGGTTAGGATAGCCAAGGATAGGGTGGGATAGTAGAGGATAGGCTATGATAGTATGGGGTAGAATAGGTTAGGATAACCTAGGATAGGGTGGGATATGCTAGTATAGAATAGGATGGTGTAGGATAGCCTAGGAAAGTGACCGGATAGGATAGTCTAGACTAGGATATTGTGGGATAGGCTAGGATAGCCTCAGATTGTGTAGCATTGGCTAGGATAGTCTGGGATAACCTAGGATAGTGTAGGATAGGCTAGGGTAGGCTGGGGCACTCTAGCATAGTGTAGGATAGTCTAGGATAGTCAAGCATAGTATGGGATAGTCTAGGATATGCTGGGATAGCTTAGGATAGTTTGGGGTAGGTTGGGATACCCTAGGATAGTGGGATAGGCTAGGATAGTGTAGGATAGGTTAGGGTAGCTAAGGATAGTGTAGGAAAGGCTTGGGTAGGCTAGGATAGTGTAGGATAGCTTACAATAGGGTGGGATAGCCTAGGATAGTGCAGAATAGGCTAGGATACTCTAGAATAGACTAGAATGTTGGGGGATAGGCTAGTATAGTCTAGGAGAGTGTAGCATAGACAAGGATAGTCTGGAATAGCCTAAGATAGTGTAGGATAGGCTGGCATACCCTAGCATAGTGTAGGATAAGTTAAGCCTTTGATAGTATGGGTTAGGCTAGGATACCCTAGCATAGAGTGGGATTGGCTAAGATAGTCTAGGATAGTCAAGGATTGTGTGGGAGTCTAGGATAGGCTGGGATAGCCTAGGATAGTGTGGGATAGGCTGGGATAGCCTAGGATAGTGTATGGTAGGTTAGGATAGCCAGGGATAGGGTGGGATAGGCTAGGATAGTCTAGAACAGTGTTATTCACTAATTTTTGCAAGAGAGCCACTTCGGTTAACACATTGATTGAGAGAGCCACAGCTACTGCAAGTTAGCGTAACTTACTTGAAAAATTATTTTTCTATATTTGTTTTTATAAATTAATTTATATATTTTTCGAGAGCCGAGAATTGAGTTATCGCTAGCTGCTGGCGGCTCGCCAGCCGCACAATGAATACCACTGGTCTAGAATAACTACAAAATTGTGGGATAGGCTAGGATAACCTAGGATGGTGTAGCATAAGCTAGGATAGTCTGGGATAGCCTAGGATAGTGTAGGGGAAGCTAGGAAAGGCTCAGAAAGCCTAGCATAGTGTATTGCAGGCTAGGATAGTGTGGGATAGGCTACGATACCCTAGGATAGTGTAGGATAGGCTAGGATAGTCTAGGATAGTCAAGGATAGTGTAGGATAGTCAAGGATTGGCTGGGATAGCCTACAATTGTGTGGGATAGGCTAGGACATTCTAGGATAGCCTAGGATAGTGGGGGAGAGGCTGGGATAGCCTTGGATAGTGTATAATAGATTAGGATAGCCTAGGATAGAGTGGGATAGGCTAGGATAGCCTCAGATAGTAGTATAGTCTAGGATAGGCTGGGATAAGCTATAGGGCAGGTTGGGTTCCAGGCTACCGCCACAAAGCAGACATCGCCAGAAAGCAGAACTCCATTTTTTCCACTTATAAATGCACATAAATGCCAGTTAACAAGTTTACACTAACACACATTAAATTAGCAATAGAACTAGGCATTAAAAAACAATAAAAAGTAAAATACACACAGTACACCCATGAGTTATTTATAACATGATCGGACATGCATGCTGTATGTCCAAGCCCCTTGCACACAAAACCCCTTTTACCCCATCCCTCCATCCTTTCCTAGGGCAACCCTTGCCCCTCCTCCCCTCCACTACAGATTTATACACCCACCATGTCATCTTTTTTGCACCATCCTCTCTAAATGACCAAACCACCTCAAAAACTCTTTCTCAGTCCTCTGAATACTTTTATTAGTAACTCCACACCTCCTCATTTCCACACTATGAATTCTCTGCATTATACTTACGTCACAAATTGCCTTTAGACGCAACTCTGGCATCAGTCCAGAGCCTCCCAAGTCCCAAGGAATAATACAGTTAAAAAATGGCTAGAGCGCATAGCGGTGATCCACAAGAATAATGGTTGGAGGAAGCCCTCAGATAACTTTGGGAGGACAGCTCAAAATAATGAGAACTAGGATTGAAGCCTAAAAATCCTGCAGCAGAGAAGCAAAGATACAGGCCCCTGAGGGCTATATGGAATCTGTAGGGCAATGGTAGCACACAAGACAGGAGTAAGGTTGAATATAACAGAGGACTTAGGCTCAGGAAGGTTACAGCACTGAAAGAACTGGGGCCCAGTTTTCTCAGTGTGAAGTGCAGACATTTTGGCAAGGCACTGCACAGAAGGCAATGGGGATCTTGCAAGACATGAACATCTGGCAGGAAAAAATACTGGGGCCAGTGGAGTCTGAAAAGAAAATGAGGGACTGGGCAATTCCCCTGGGGTAGAGCATGGTAAGACTGCACTTCACTGGGTCATAACCAGCAAATAACTAGTAAGGAGCAAAAAAAAAAAAAAAAAAAAGAAAGCCCTACACTGATGGATCCTATTGTGGCCTCAGAGGTGAGCATTTGGTGTGAATGAGGCATAAGGTGTTCCTCTTGAGCACCCGAGGCTTCAACAACAGAAATAAAGTTTAGTGGGTTTAGTGCTTCCCCCCTGATTAAAATACATGTCCATAAATTCAGTTCTGATTCAATTCAAAATTGCCATCCCTTAGTTAAGAGAAAAGCACAGTACTGGTATTCAAGTGAGCACACTTTTTTGAGCAACACAAGTGTCTAACCTGAGCATGTGAAATCTACCTAAATGAAAACAAAAGTGAAGGTGGAAATGTTATTAGATAACAATTTAATCTTTATTAATTATAACTAAATTATTTTACCCAAAAACCCACATGCACACTAATACATTCATTAAATACTGATTATAACAAATATGAAAATAACAACAATACTGTAACAGACACTATGGATTAACAATCTGACCTTTAAAATTTAACAAATGAGTAAAAGGTGGGTGAGCACATGAAAGTAGTAAGTAACTAGAGGCTAATGTGAAATTCTTATAATTTGCAAGGTCAATAGTTAACCTCTCCTTTAGGTCTAACAATACAAATTCTTTCTTTACAGGTTTTGTTATCTTGGCATCTTTAGGTTCTGCAATAATGTTGGATGCACCAGAACTTGTACTGTATTTTGAACTAGATACACTGGGAGTTATACTGGCAGCTTCCAAGCCAGATGTGTTACCATCTAGTCCTCTTTCAGCAGTTTCACTCAGAGATGAAAATCGAGGTTCATCTTTTTTTATTAGCTTAGAGCTTCCATCATTTTCTATCCTTATTTCTTTTTGAGAATCTTTCTGTTTTACCTCATAATCTTCATTAATTACTTTCATTTTAGTTTCATCATTGCTATCATTACCTTCAATCATACTGCTTAAAGAACTACCTAAAGTAACATCCTTGTTGTTCTCTACTGTATTGGCTGTATAGTCTATGATTTTGCTTGGATTTCTGTCATTTTCTTTCGTGAAAGTATTGACTCTTTCTGATCCTAGACTTAACTTTTCAACATCATCATCTGAGACCACCCTGTGGCTATGAGCCTTATTTCCAATAATATTACTAAGAGGCTGATGAATTGTGAGAATATTTTTGTGCTCCTTTAATGTAGTAATGCTATCATCTTTAAAATCCTCATTTGTAATAATTTTACTCTGTTTATCTTGCAAAGGAAGCTGACTTTCTCCTTCACCACAGTCCTCTCCAGGTTGGACTGACTTTTCTTTTTTAATTTTATTTTTTTTATTTTCCCTCCATGGTGCTGTAGGATCCAAAATAAGGTTTACTTGATCAGAAATAGACAATGACCAGTCATCATCTTTCATATAACAGCATGCTAAAGCACCTGGATCTACAGGATGAGCTTCTGTAAAAAGAACAAAATATAAAAAGGTAAACATATTTTTTTATTTCATTAATAAAGGATAAAGTAAATATGCATACAAAACCCTAATGGAAAACTGCAAAATACCAAAGACAGTATATAATGCAGCACTGATAAAGTATCTGTTAATACACTATAACAAATTAGAAATGAATTGCTTCCATTAATATTATTATTGTTAACACATGAACTGCTCCCATTATTATTATTACTTTTATAACACCGACCATCTCCCACCAAGATGGGAGACAACATAATAATGGGAGAGGCTCAATCATCCTTCCACTTATTGCAAGACAAAAACTCATCGACAAATACCAGCACACACAATTTAAGGTAAGAAATACAGTAAACCCCCGGTTTTCGCAATTAATCTGTTCCAGAAGGTAGGCCGAAATCCGAAATGGCCGAAAACCGAAGAAATATTTCCCACAAGAAATAATGTAAATCCAATTAATCCGTTTTAGACACCAAAAAAATTAACAAAAAATGACAGGATGGATAATGAGAACCTTCAAAACTAGGGAGGCCAAGCCCATGATGACACTCTTCAGGTCACTTGTTCTATCTAGGCTGGAATATTGCTGCACACTAACAGCACCTTTCAAGGCAGGTGAAATTGCTGACCTAGAAAATGTACAGAGAACCTTCACGGCGCGCATAACGGAGATAAAACACCTCAATTACTGGGAGCGCTTGAGGTTCCTGAACCTGTATTCCCTGGAACGCAGGCGGGAGAGATACATGATTATATACACCTGGAAAATCCTAGAGGGACTAGTACCGAACTTGCACACGAAAATCACACACTACGAAAGCAAAAGACTTGGCAGACGATGCAACATCCCCCCAATGAAAAGCAGGGGTGTCACTAGCACGTTAAGAGACCATACAATAAGTGTCAGGGGCCCGAGACTGTTCAACTGCCTCCCAGCATACATAAGGGGGATTACCAACAGACCCCTGGCAGTCTTCAAGCTGGCACTGGACAAGCACCTAAAGTCGGTTCCTGACCAGCCGGGCTGTGGCTCGTACGTTGGTTTGCGGGCAGCCAGCAGCAACAGCCTGGTTGATCAGGCTCTGATCCACCAGGAGGCCTGGTCACAGACCGGGCCATGGGGGCGTTGACCCCCGGAACTCTCTCCAGGTAAACTCCAGGTAATAGTTTTACAAACAGATAAAATGAGAAACAAATACAAATGATTAATTTTAATGATAAATGAACATTACATACCTTTATTGAAGACTCTTGTTGGTGAGTAATATTTATTTGTAGTCCCAGGCAGACTACATCCCAGGTCCATACCTATCGGCTACATACACTGCGACCTACAGCCATATTATTACCATCGACAAAGCATGTTCACTGAGTTTAATGAACTACCTTAAGATGCCATCATAAACAAAGTGAGAAGTAATGAATAATTCATGCCAAGAATTGTAAACAAAAGCTTATGTATTAACCCTTTGAGGGTTTTCGTCGTACTAGTACGTCTTACGCGTAGGGGTTTTTGACGTACTAGTACTCATAAATTCTAGCGGCCTCAAATCTAGTGGGAGAAAGCTGGTAGGCCTTCATATGAAAGAATGGGTCTATGTGGTCAGTGTGCACAGTCTAAAAAAAATCCTGCAGCACACACTGCATTATGAGAAAAAAAAAACTTTGACCATTTTTTTTTAATAAATCAGCGACTTTGCAGTGTATTTTCGTATGGTATTTATTGTTGTATTCTAGTTTTCTTGGTCTCATTTTATAGAATGGAAGACATATTACAGAAATTGAGATGATTTTGACTGGTTTTACAAAGAAAGGTGCCTTGAAATTGAGCTCAAAGTAGCAGAAATGTTCGATTTTTACCAAACTTCAAAAGTAAACAAATCGTGCCAAGCGTGCAATACACGTCAACTGGTGAGTCTAATATTCTTTCACAAGTGCACCAATAATATTTATACCATTTTTTTACACTAATGCAGTAGTCTGCATAACAGTAAATATTATATTTTTTGTGAAAATAAAAATTCAAAGTGGAAAGCAAAAGAAATATAAGAGGGCCTTGAGACGTCACTAATGACTAAGAGGAAATGTCATTTTAGTGCCAGGAATGTCTTTCTTGTTTATTCTGGACCCTATTCGGAAATTGGCATCTTTTGAAATTTGTGTGAAATTGGCAAAATTGCTAAATTCTGACCACTGTACTGATAGTTGAATTTCATAAATGAGTGGTTTTCATGCACCCATTCGATAGAAAAAAATGGAGTTCTAGCGAAATATTCATGTTTTTTGTCGACTAGTACAGTGAAATTGGCCGAAAATGGGGCTCAAAGTGGGCAAAATCGCCGATGCGTAAACATCGCCGAGACCACTAACTTTGCGAGAGCATAATTCCGTAAGTTTTCTATCAAATTTCAAACTTTTGGTGTCTTTATGATCGGGAAAAGATTCTCTATCTTTTCATAAGAGAAAATAATTTTTTTTTTTTTTTAAATTTGGCCGACCCTGAGAACGAGTTTCGGAGAGGGCCTGTCGATCCTCAAAGGGTTAAGGGCAGGTACTGGGCCAATGCAGATCCATCCAGTTTTCTCTAACACTGGACGAGAGAAAACGTAATGTTAACCCTCCACCGCATATAAACATTGCATGTTTATATGCTATGTAACGTGTTTCTTACATAATTTTCAAGAAAATATCATAAGATGGATTAATGAAAATGTCTACATTAACCTAAAATAAGACATTTAATGTGCCCAAGAGTGAGTGGTCAGGTGCACGCGTCTGGTACCAACAATTTCCGATCGGATGTATGAAACCCAGGGGAAAATTTCGCCGAAAAAAGTGCTTGAAATCCAAATTGTACGATTTCCATACCAGCCGAAAACCAGGGGTCCACTGTACTATTATTTCTGTTGCAGTTGAAGTCTTAAGCAGTAAAAGCAACATAATACATCATAACAATGAACAACAATTACATTTATTTTTGTAATATCTGGAGGTCTAAAAAAAAGTTGTTTGGCTTTTTTGGGGCTCCTAGGAATATAACCCTATTTTTCCCAGAAGTTCTCCAGTTTATCTAACACGGATTTACCTAACACAGCATTTTCAGGAACATAACTACCGTGTAATATGACGGTTTACTGTAGCACAAATTCCTGCAAACTATTCTTGATCAGCCAGACATTGGTGTCTACACCTACAGCAGACTGCAAAAACCAACAGTGACTGATCAGGATGTCAAACAGAAGATTTGGCCAGAGACTGCATCACAGGTGAGTGATATGCAGAAGTAAAAAAAAATATATATAGTATCTTACCAGAATTATAGATGTATCCACCAGCTTCAATGACACAATCCCTAGTGCCAACTTTATGAACTTGTCCTGTCGCTCCCATGTTATGCATCCAGTTCTCCGAGTCAAAAAGTAGGAACAGGTACTTGGTTGTTTCTGCCAAGAAAAAACTTTCCATCCTGTTTTCTAGGGTGTGGTCATTCACATTTTTAACCTAAAAATCAAGAAAATTTTTATATATGAAACAGGAAATATTATCATTGAAAATATAATTACAGTAGGGCCCCACTTATAGGGCGGGTTAAGTTCCAGGCTGTCGCCAGAAAGCAGACATCGCCGGAAGGCAGAACGCCATTTTTTCCATTTATAAATACATATAAATGCCAGACAACAAGTTTACACTAAATTATATTAAGTTAGTAATAGAACTAGGCATTAAAAACACACAAAGTAAAATGCATTCACAGCACTTTCATTACTTATCCTAAAGTACGGTAGGGCCCCGCTTTACGGCGTTTCGCATTACGGCATTCCACTAATACAGTCATTTCAAATTATGACCAAAACTCGGTATACTGCTCCCCCCACCTGACTTTCTAATACGGTCACCGCGCCCCACCCGGTTTGTTTACATTCTCTGTGAGATCCATAAGCACTAAGTCTCTCCATTATGTCTGGAAACTCCAAAATTTCAAGTGTTTTTAAAAGTTATTTCATATTTTATATATACTCTGATAATTATACTTACATATGCCTGTACCTAAATAAACTTAAATACTGTGCTGGCGTGCAGGTTCACATTAAAATCAGTAAGAGAGTCTTATATCTCGAGATGTCATATTAGTAGTGATAATAATAATCACCAAGTCTCATTTAAATGTCATATATTACATTAATATACACATTTTCATTAATCCATCTATGATATTTTTTCAAAATTATATAATAAACACGATGCATAACATATAAAGATGATAAATACACCCCACAGTAGAATAAATAAACATAAATATGAGACGTGGTACCCAGACGACTTGCACAAGTGATGTCATATTAGAAATAATAATCACCGAGTCTCATTAAATGTCGTATATTACGTTAATATACACATTTTCATTAATCCATCCATGATATTTTTTTCAAAATTATATAATAAACAGGATACATAACATATAAAGATGATAAATACACCCCACAATAAAATAAATAAACATAAATATGAGATGTCGTAGCCAGATAACTTGTACAAGTGACGGCAATAATAACATTTTCTCTAGTCTAACATGAGAAAATGTGTTACTGGGGGTAACTGTAGAAATTTATTCCTTTCGTATGTATGTAAGTTTATTCAGGTATGCACAAATACACTTACATAGATTATCATACATAACAGCATATGTGTAGAGAACCTAGGATAACCCAAAAAAGCCAGAGTGACTTATTTCCACTGCCTTCACTCAGAGCGCCATTTCTTCTAAAAATGGTGTTACATGAGAATGGGAGTGTTCTTCTTTATTTATTCTACCAAATCAATGTAGAGACAACTTGTACACAATGTAACTTGTACACAAACCAGACGTGTACACTTTGTTTGTTTACAAAACTTACGTTCGCCTGGTTTGTTTACATAACTCTGTGCCTGTCCTCCCTCATGCACTCATTCTCTCTCACTCTCATTTATTCGTTTTATCTCGTTTACTCACCTCTGACCCTACATTAAGGCTACAAATATTTTAAGGTAAGTAATGACTGAACTGTATATGCATTTTATCACTCTGGGATGCTTATATATCATAGAATAGTATGTGTGGGGTGGAATGGCCTGGTATGGTAGCCCGGCTGACTACCATACACACCACACTTGATTTCTTACAATAAATACTACTTGTCTCACCCTAGATTAAGACTATAAATATTTTAAGGTAAGTAATGAATGCACTATGTGTATTGTACATTTTTATTGTTTTTTGATGCCTAGTTCTACTGCTAACTTAATATATGTTAAAGTAAACTTGTTATCTAGTATCTGTATGCATTTTTAACCCTTTGAGGGTTTTGGTCGTACTAGTACATCTTACGCGTAGGGGTTTTTGACGTACTAGTACGCATAAATTCTAGCGGCCTCAAATCTAGTGGCAGAAAGCTGGTAGGCCTTCATATGAAAGAATGGGTCTATGTGGTCAGTGTGCACAGTCTAAAAAAAATCCTGCAGCACACAGTGCATAATGAGAAAAAAAAAACTGACCATTTTTTTGGAATAAATCAGCGACTTTGCAGTGTATTTTCGTATGGTATTTATTGTTGTATTCTAGTTTCCTTGGTCTCATTTTATAGAATGGAAGACATATTACAGAAATTGAGATGATTTTGACTGGTTTTACAATGAAAGGTGCCTTGAAATTGAGCTCAAAGTAGCAGAAATGTTCGATTTTTACCAAACTTCAAAAGTAAACAAATCGTGCCAAGCGTGCAATACACGTCAACTGGTGAGTCTAATATTCTTTCACAAGTGCACCAATAATATTTATACCATTTTTTACACTAATGCAGTAGTCTGCATAACAGTAAATCTTAATATTTTGTGAGAATAAAAATTCAAAGTGGAAAGCAAAAGAATATAAGAGGGCCTTGAGACGTGACTAATGACTAGAGGAAATGTCATTTTAGTGCCAGGAATGTCTTTCTTGTTTATTCTGGACCCTATTCGGAAATTGGCATCTTTTGAAATTTGTGTGAAATTGCAAAAATTGCTAAATTCTGACCACTGTACTGGATAGTTGAATTTCATAAATGGGGGTTTCTTGCACCCATTCGATACAAAAAATGGAGTTCTAGCGAAATATTCATGTTTTTTGTCGACTAGTACAGTGAAATTGGCCGAAAATGGGGCTCAAAGTGGGCAAAATCGCCGATGCGTAAACATCGCCGAGACCGCTAACTTTGTGAGAGCATAATTCCGTAAGTTTTCTATCAAATTTCAAACTTTTGGTGTCTTTATGATCGGGAAAAGATTCTCTATCTTTTCATAAGAGAAAATAATTTTTTTTTTTAAATTTGGCTGACCCTGAGAACGAGTTTCGGAGAGGGCCTGTCGACCCTCAAAGGGTTAAGGGGAAAAAAAGGGTGTTCCACTTTACGGAAGTAGCCTGGAACCTAACCTGCCGTATAAGTGGGGCCCTACCGTATATGTAATCTTAATGTAGGAAGAGAGGTGAGTAGTACTTATTTGTAGGAAGTCAGGTGTAGGTAGCCCTGGCTCCCCCGTCTCATATTTAATATACAATATTTAAAACAATATTTAAAAGTAGTTTGTTAGATTATGTATTGGTGGATAAAAGGTTGATGGGTAGGCTCCAGGATGTACATGTTTATAGAGGGGCAACTGATATATCGAATCATGATTTAGTTGTAGCTACAGTTAGAGTAAGAGGTAGATGGGACAAGAGGAAGATGGCAACAACAAGTAAGAGGGAGGTGAAAGTGTATAAACTAAGGGAGGAGGAAGTTCGGGTGAGATATAAGCAACTATTGGCAGAAAAGTGGGCTAGTGCAAAGATGAGTAGTGGGGGGGTTGAAGAGGGTTGTAATAGTTTTAAAAATGCAGTATTAGAATGTAAGGCAGAAGTTTGTGGTTATAGGAAGGTGGGTGCAAGAGGAAAGAGGAGTGATTGGTGGAATGATGAAGTAAAAGGTGTGATAAAAGAGAAAAAGGTAGCTTATGAGAGGTTTTTACAAAGCAGAAATGTTATAAGAAGAGAAGAGTATATTGAGAGTAAAAAAAAAGGTGAGAGTGGTGAGAAAGTGCAAAAGGAGAGCAGATGATAGAGTGGGAGATTCAGTGTCAAGAAATTTTAATGAAAATAAGAAAAAATTTTGGAGTGAGTTAAACAAGTTAAGAAAGCCTAGGGAAAGTATGGATTTGTCAGTTAAAACCAGAGTAGGGGAGTTAGTAGATGGGGAGATGGAGGTATTAAGTAGATGGCGAGAATATTTTGAGGAACTTTTAAATGTTGACGAAGAAAAGGAGGCGGTAATTTCATGCACTGGCCAGGGAGGTATACCATCTTTTAGGAGTGAAGAAGAGCAAAATGTTATTGTGGGAGAGATACGCGAGGCATTACGTAGAATGAAAGGGGGTAAAGCAGCTGGAACTGACGGGATCATGACAGAAATGTTAAAAGCAGGGGGGATATAGTGTTGGAGTGGTTGGTACTTTTGTTTAATAAATGTATGAAAGAGGGGAAGGTACCTAGGGACTGGTGTAGAGCATGTATAGTCTCTTTATATAAAGGGAAGGGGGATAAAAGAGATTGTAAAAATTATAGAAGAATTAGTTTACTGAGCATACCAGGAAAAGTGTATGGTAGGGTTATTATTGAAAGAATTAGAGGTAAGACAGAATGTAGGATTGCGGATGAACAAGGACGTTTCAGAGTGGGTAGGGGATGTGTTGATCAGGTGTTTACATTGAAGCACATATGTGAACAGTATTTAGTTTATAAAGGTAGGGAAGTTTTTATTGTATTTATGGATTTAGAAAAGGCATATGATAGAATGGATAGGGGAGCAATGTGGCAGATGTTGCAAGTATATGGAATAGGTAGTAAGTTACTAAATGCTGTAAAGAGTTTTTATGAGGATATTGAGGCTCAGGTTAGGGTGTGTAGAAGAGAGGGAGACTACTTTCTGGTAAAAGTAGGTCTTAGACAGGGATGTGTAATGTCACCATGGCTGTTTAATATATATATATATATATAGATGGGGTTGTAAAAGAAGTAAATGCTAGGGTGTTCGGGAGAGGGGTTGGATTAAGTTAAGGCGACTCAAATACAAAATGGGAATTGACACAGTTACTTTTTGCTGATGATACTGTGCTTATGGGAGATTCTAAAGAAAAATTGCAAAGGTTAGTGGATGAGTTTACGAGAGTATGTAAAGGTATTATTATTATTATAATCAAAAAGAAGCGCTAAGCCACAAGGGCTATACAGCGTATGTAAAGGTAGAAAGTTAAAAGTGAACATAGAAAAGAGTAAGGTGATGAGGGTATCTAATGATTTAGATAAAGAAAAAATTGGATATCATACTGGAGAGGAGGAATATGGAAGAAGTGAATGTTTTCAGATACAGTGGACCCCCGCATAGCGATATTAATCCGTGCAAGAGAGCTCATTGTTATGCGAAATTATCGTTATGCAAGTGAATTTTCCCCAT